CATGTCAATCACGTCAATCGCTTGATTTAGCAAATGACAATCACCTGTAATTTGAGCAATTTTCAAACAAATCACTTATGCATTAGCCTTTAAAAACATGCGAAAAAAAACTAAAATGACAATCAATTGCGTTAGCAACATATGTTGGGATTTATGACGCTAGCGCCATGTTGCCTTGGGATTCATGACTAACGTCAGTTGCATGCATTTGACATACTTGGAAAGGCCCTTAGTTTTAACTACGCAGTAAAAACTGTAAATCTTTTTTCACTATATTTTGGATTCTACGGAAAATTTCAATGGTAACATCTACATGTTATCATCTACATGTCTACTTGGTAGAAAATAAATTTTATAAAAATTTATTAAATTTCATTTTAAACCGTCAAGTTGATAGCCCAGAATATTGATATAACAAGATTTTCCTCGAATCAAAGAAAAAGAAGATAATGAATCATACAAAACGTAAACGAATGGCAGCCCAAATTTTATTAAAATATTCAATATTTTAATAAGAAACAAAAATAATGGTTTATTTCTTTTGAAATGAATTCAATTATTTATTATAGTATAATGTAAATTTATTTAGTCGTTTATATAAAATATGATGAGCATTTTTTTTATAATAAAAAAAAAATTTAAATAACAAAGTAATAGTATTTAATTTAATATACTTCTTTTTTTAGTTATTTTACTATAATAATTTATTTATATATGAATCATTGAAAAGTTATTTACTCATTTTAAAATTATTTTTTTTTTTGTTTTATATTTTCAAAATTCTAGTTATAATTTATGAGTTTTTAATAAATATTATATTGTATTAGTCATTTAAACGCATATTTATTTTGAATTAAGTTGAACCAATAAAATACATATTTAATAGAATTAATATATAGAATTTATTTAGAAGTAAGGGAGTTCGATCAATGTGTTTTACTTTTCTTGAATTATTGAATACAAAGGGTTTTTCGTTTACGCACATTACTCTGAAAGTTCTACAATGCAACTTTCAAAAAGTAATTGTTCTAAAATGATATGAGGTTATTATGAAAATTTTTAAATTTAAAAAACAAAATTAAAAAACATTCGTTTTAAAACTGAAAGAAAACTAAACTTTTTGTTATATATTTTATTTTATTTTTTTTTTTGTAATTTAATTTTAATTTTTATTTTCTTTTTTTTTTCTTTATTTTTCATTTTATTATTAATATAATTGTGGTACAATTTTCTGACTTTTTATAATTATAATTTCTAATATAACACTTTGTAATTTTATATAAATAAACTATTCTTTTGCCTTATATTTTTTTGCATTCTCATTTTATTTTAATATATATATTTTTTTTTTATTTTTCTTAATTATAATTCATATAAAAGTTTAATGAAATATTAAATTATAAAATATATAAGTTATAAAAATTATGAAAAAAAAAACAAGAAAACTGAAACGAAATGATAAGATAAAAAGTAATATATTTTGTTTTATAAAAAGTTTTTTTTTTACTTTTATTCTTTTTATATTTTTAATGAAAATTCAAAACTCATTCCTTGTTTATTTCTATTTTTACTAATTATTATAATAATGAATACGTATTTAATTTATTTAGACATTAAATATATATGATATAAAATGTTCTTTTTTGGATGCTTAGATGCGCAGATGACGACCTGCCCCTAAAAATTACAAAAAAAATAAGGATCGGATAATATTTAACTTTATGCCAAATTATAATTATTTTATTATTTTTTTTAATAAATTTAATTTAAATGATTAAATATTTGAACGAAAAAAATCAAGTTTATTACAAAAATGTCTTTCTAAAAACAAAATTTTTAGTGCAACAAATATTTATGATTCATATTTTAGAGCTGTTGTTTAAATATATCAAGATAATAATAATTAAATATAAAATGCTGTTGTAATTCTCAACCTTAATAATTTACATTCTTATTAATTAATATTTTATAATTTATAGCTTCAAGCAATTTTTAAATAAAAATAATTTTAAATAAGACCGAATAATGTTAAGAATTTCTAATTTCGACGTATATTAAAACAAGGATTTTAACTTAAATATTTCATATTTGTTTAAATTTAAAATATTCCTAAATATACCAACAGCTATGTAAGATGAGTAACTAATTCAAATTTGAATTTTAAAATTATTTAGAAAAATTACTTACAAAATTTTTTTTTTAAATTATTTATTATAAATAGAAAAGTGTAAAAATAATATTAATTGTTGATGTAAAATTGAATATAATATAAAAATTTTTTGAAAATTTGGAATTATAATCCTAAGCTGATGTTAAAAATAATAAAGATTGAACAGAAATAAAAAAAATATTACTTTTATATTTATTTTTGCATATATAAAACCTCTCAATGCGCTTGTCATTCTTATATTTTATTATTTTTATAATTTTTTTCCCTTTTTGATTTTTTATTGTTACTTTAATATTTAATGCTATAAATTTTTACACCACAAATTTTATTTGAAATTTTCTTATTTTTGAAATACATAATGAAAATTTTTATATTAGCATTTTATTAAATATAAAAAAAAAAATAAAAAAGCTTCAAGCTTTTTTCAATATTTTCTTGTTTCCTCTTTTTTTACAATTTTCTTTATTTTTTTTTTTAAATATATGTATTATAAGAGTTTATTGAAGTATTACAAAGAAAAAGAAAACAAAAACATAAAGGAATTTACAAGTACTCGTATATATATATTTTAAATTTACGAAATATTTATATAATTCACTATAATTTGATCCTAGTTTACATTACATTACGTTGCATTACAATATAGAGACTTTTCAGTGGGAATTTGATTTTTTTTTTATTTTTTTGTTTTATTTATAAAATTTTATAAAGTTTTTTAAAGATTGGGTAAAGCAACCTAAAATGAAAATTATTTTAAAATATAAAACTTTTATATTTCATTAAAATTATTCATTTAAATTTTAATAGCTTTAATATTCATTAAAATCTAAATAAAATAAAATTAAACAAATTGAAAACCATGTCAAAATATAAAGAAATTATATTTTTATAAATTCAAATTGAGTTCATTGAATAAAGCAAATAATTAAGTTGTACAAAATGTATGGAAAATTTATTAAAATTTCTGTCATAAAATCCAGATCTATCTAATCCTATCATTCAAGAGAATGTACTGAATCAAAAAAAAAAAAAGATTTGACTCCAATTGACAAATAACAAAATTTTTAATTTTTAATTAACATGACAAATAACAAATGACTAAATTCAAAATTTTTATCAAAAAATTTTTTTAACTTTGTTGTTTCGGGAAATTATTTCTATTTTCGGCCTTATAGAATAATAAATAGCTTCTAGAGAAATCCTAACATGAAAACAATCAATTTCCTTAAGTATTTAATCAAATTTTTTAAATTAAGAAATTTCAAATAAATAATTTCAATAAGGAAACCAAAACAAAATGATATCAATGAAAAAATGTAATTTTTAAAAATTAAAATTTTGTGTTAGTCAAAGAAAATTATATATATGTATACATACTTTATTTTCATTTTATTTTTTCAATTTTCTTTTTGATATGGAAATAATTTTAAAAATTATTTTTACTTTAAATACAATTTTTTACTTTTACATTTTCATATATTTTTTTGTTAATTTGTATAATGGTATACATTTAGAATATATCATTCTTACTATTTTCATCAATATCTTTTACCTATGTATTTGTTTTTTATTTCTTTTGATTATAAATTTCTTTATGACATTTATATAATATACTTTATTTTATTATATACATTTATATAATACGTTTATATATATGTATATATATAAATTAAATTTCTATTCAGATTAATTTTCCATTAAAATATTTTCACTATTTAAATACATAATTTCCATTTCAAACTAATTTCATTTCTTTTTGCATTATTTTTACATAAATACTATTTTGAGTGAATTATTATTTTTCTTTTTATATATCATGTAATTATATAATTAAAGGAACTATTCTAAATATCTTAGTTAAAGAGATGCAATTTTAGTTTAGATGCATACAAAATATTTAATTCTTGAAAATTAAATAATATTGGAACAATTAAAAATATCTTTACTAATATGAATAATAATGTAATAATGTAATTATAAAAATAGTAATTATTATTATGCATGCTATTTATGATACTCAATATAAATTAGAAGAAGATATGTATTTTAAATTATATATAATGAATTTTTTAAAAAATAAATAATGAAAAATATTTTAAAGAAATTTACATATTTAAATATAATAAATTTATCAAAAGATTTTTGAAATGAATTTGACTGTAAAAATATTTACTTAATTATCTATTAAAAATTTATTTTACAAAAATTTTTTGATTTTATTTTTAATTTGCTGAATTTTGTTTTATATGTAGAAGCTGTAAAATTATTTTTTTGCACTAGATTTATTCAACAGCAATTTTTAATTAAGTATTTTTCTAAAATTTTATAATTTTTGTTTAGTATAATTTGGTTGAATTTTTAAAAGACGAAGTTTTTTATTAAAAATTAATTCTTAATGCTCAATCAACATGAAAGCCAAAAGCCAAAATCAGAATTTGTAATTAAATTTTGTTGAAAGGGGCGTTGACGTTATTGATTTATTAACCAATATATCAAAGCAACCAGTAATTTGATTATAAATCAGTTTCTAGTTACCCTTTCCATTGGCTGTTAAATTTCTAAATATTTAAGATTAATTATGTTAAATTACGATAACTATTTGCTGTTGAATAAATCTAACATTTAATATTTAAATTTGCAACTTTTTTCTACTTTTTCTTTTCACAAAATTAAAGTTTGAAAATAAAACTTTTGCATTTAATATTATTAAAGTAGGTACGTTACAAATGAAAAATACAAATGAGACAAAAAAAAATTGTAAATGGTAATGCTTGTTTGCTAATATTATATTATATAATTTCTTATTTGAAAAATTTATTTTCTTTATAAAAAAAAAAAATGCAAATATTATTATATTGAATTGAAGAAACCGATTTTTACTTTCGTTTCTAACGATTATGTGTGCACATGAATAATTCACATAGTAGGTAATAATTGGTTATTCATTAACAATTTCACCTTTTAATTAAGTAAATACATTAAATGAATTCTACTTTAGTAAACTAATTCTTCCACATTTTTTTTAATTTTATGTATAAATCATTAACCACTACCTTTCTATGCAATTTTGCAGTGTAATTTGAATATAAAAAAATTTATATATTACACAATAATAGAATTCACATATTATGTAAATCATATTGTTTTACATTTCTTATATATTTTAAACGTTATATATACAAAATCTAAGTTCATGTATAGTTAACGTTTATTGATTTGACAAATACTTAAAAAAATATACAATATAAAATACGTATATATTTAATTTAAGTTACGAAAATTATTTAATGAAAAAAAAAACAAGGCAATGAAATTTTATTTAACTAATTTTATTATTTAAAAAACAGCGGAAGCTTATTAAAATTAAAAAAAAAATATTTGTTTGTTTTTTCAATAATGATTAAGTTATTAATTTTTATAGGCAATTGTTTTAATTAAGTATTAGTATATAGAAAATAAATTTAATTTATAATATTAAATTTTTCATTTTTCATGTAAAAAATAAACAAATGGATATTTTGTATTATCATCAACGTTTTTAATAATTTTCATGTTGTCTTTCAAATTACTATCGCTGATATTATTTATTAAACATTTTGATTTTTCAATGTCTAAATTTAAATTTTTATCATTATCGTCATCTTGATTGTAATTTTTTTTTATATTCATATTTGTTTCATTATTTATTTTTATTTCTGAAGATTTTATTGTTGACATTATATTTATCTGTTCCTTATCATCATCAATATCAATATCCTTATCATCATCGTCAGAAAGTGAAACAGCTGTTAATGATAACTCATGAAATTGTAATTCTGTATCATGATTTTTATCAAATAAATAATTTGAAAAATTTAAATTATCAATATTATTATCATTATCTTCATTTGATTTTATAATACCAATATTATTATTAGAATTACTTGTGGCTGCTGTTTCTTTCGATATTGTATTTGTTTCTTGTATTGTTACTCCTGCTGTTGTTGTATTGGAAAAAATATCAGTAGAAAATAAATCTGTTTTGAAACTCATAGTATTATTGATTTTTGTATTATCATTATTTAAAGTTGATATATTCGATGTTTCTAATGTATTATATTTATCATTTTGAATTGATATTGTATCTGTTGTAACTTGCTGTGAAATTTTATCATTATTTTGGTTAATAAATTGGGCGAATGTTGGTTGTATTGTCGATATCGGTGATGTTAATGATGACAAGGAACATTCAGTATTATTAAGTAAATATTAGGCCCAAATTGAAGATAAATCCCATATTTTAATAATGCGATCCTGTCCAACTGTTAGTAATCTTTTACGATTTTCATCTAAATCCATTGAAACTATTGAATGTTTTGCATCATGAAATGAAGCTAATGATGGTCGCCTGAAAAGATTAAAAAAAAAACAAATTTTAAATTCAAATGTAAATAAATATCAACGAACTTTAATTCGTAATCATATATTGTATATATAAAATAAAATTAAAATTTAATACCAGGGTTAAACATTATATATAAGCAAAATAAAGCAAATTAAAATGTACAATTCGTTGAACTTTCGTAATGATATATAAATTATTTTTGTATTCAGTTATTGATAAGAAAATAAAAATAAACTTGAATTGTATAATTTTATATAGTGATCACAGTATTGAAAAAATACTTACTCTATTGGTTGCAATTGCTTAAAACATGGATCACATACTCTAACATCGAATTCAAATCCCATTATCGGTATATTAATGCGATTTGTTGAACAATTATCACATATAGCTTTACCACAATGCCTGCAGTGATGTTGACGAATACCTAAAAATCATATCAAAATAATTTAAAAAATTTTTTTTTAATTCATTTGAAAATACAAAACACAAACCTAATTGTTTTTGATCTAACATTGATTTAAAGTTCCAGAAAAATGGTCGACTACACAACTGACAATTATTTGATTCAACCCATTCCGGTACCTCTTTGCGCATTGCATTCATTTCCCAAAAAACAACAACGGAATCTTCTCCAGCAGATATTAACTGTTGTGTTTTGTTAGCATATGCCAAATCGGTAACTTTGTTGCTAAATTTTTTGCATTATTTTTGTTCCATAAATGTTTAAAAAATAAACAAATAATACTTACTTGTGCCCTTGAAGCTCATACACAGTCCCACGCCTTCCTCCAACATCCCATACAATAACCAGTTGATCAAAAGCTCCGCTAAATAACAACTGAGGGCCCTCAACCCATTTCAAGCAACGAACAGATCCTATTTAAAGTGAGTTATTATTTTTGTATTAATACTCATCAAATATATCTTGAAGTAATACCTGTATGCCCCTTAAATGTAGTTATAAAATTTGAACCATTTGTATCAAGTCGAAGCATAGTTATTTGACCACTATAATCTCCAATGAATGCATATTTTGCCAATGAATCAAATCTTTACAATACCAAATAAAAATTTGTTATTAATATTAAGAAGTTTGTGAAATTAAAAAAAAATAACAAATAAATATTTACTGTAAACAAGTACACGATGCTTCGAATGTATAACCACCAATACGACGTCCTGTTTGAGTACAATGATACGCAAAAGTTTTATCTTTACTTACAGATAATACCCATGCATCTGCTCTTGATAAAATACACGCTGTTACTCTAGCTTGATGTGCCAAATAATCGCGTATTAACGATAGACGATTGCAGTCTTCAGATAAAGTATATTGTGAAACTGTTCCATTTTCTTGTCCAACAAACAATTGGCGTGTTTCTTCAACATAATCCAATGAAGTGCAACCAGATGGCATATATTGACATATGCTAGGCCAATAGTGACCCGAATCTCTACGAAGCCATACTCGTACAGTTCTATAAATTGCATTACAATAAGAAAAATTATATATGTATGTATATATACGTGTGAAAAATGATATCATCTTTGTGTTCCATAAAAATGAATTTACGACGCAAAGATAAAATTTTTCAAAAAGAAAATTTTTCTTTCAAATGCAATGTATTAGTTCGTTTAAGATAATAAACTGGTTTTAAACTATAAATCAATTACTTACTGATCATCACTAACGCTAATTACTCCATTTTCTGGGATTAAACGAGCCGCATTAACGTCATAATTATTTCCTTCCAATTTACTTAATAATTCTGGCTTTTTGGTCGAATTAAATCGATCATTATTACTACGTGGCGCAGGTTTTATTTCTGCTGCCATTTTCGATTACTTTATTTAGGTATATCTTTACTTCTTTATTCAATTAAGAATTGAACTGATATAAATTTTCTACTTTGCTTTTAATCCGCCCCGAAAATTTGCGAAGTAAAAGATTAATAATAATGTCAACTAAGAAAAATTTTGACAATAGGTTGACTTTTTTAAATTATTTTTACTTGAATGTCAAATAATCTAGTTTGAGTTTCCGCATGTCCCCAAATGCCAAGTACATAATGACGTAAATACATTTAGTTGTTTCAAACCTATATACATTTGATTGTTTCAAAAAACTTCAGATGTAGAACTCGAATTTTTTAAGCCTTTTTACAATAATCTTCGACTTTTTAATTTTAATTAAATAAGCAGCAATAAAATATTTATTTGAATTTAAAAAAAAATTCCACATATTGAAATTTTTATGGTGTATGACATAATAAAAATAGAAATAAGATAAAAATTTATTTGAAATGCAAAATTAACTCGTGCTGGGTATGTTATATAACATTATACTCGTATTAATATTCTGTATTTAAGTAAGTCTCAAAATCCCTACAGATCTTAATCGTCAACGTCGTTTTTACAATTAATTGTATACTCGCTAGGTGGCGTTGCAGTTCAGTAAAATGTCAAATTTCTTTTCAATATCATTTTGTTTCTAATAACTTTGGAAGCCACTGGTTTTTTCAATTCTCGTGTCAAAATTTTAATGTGTCAAGAAGTATTTACATTTTGTATAATAAATAGCCGGCTAAATAGTTAAACTTTTTGAAAAAACAAAATAATATTATATTTGCAAAATGCAACGACCGAATTATGCAAAACTTTATAAAGCACCAAAGGGCTACGTTCAACCTGAAACTGAAAAATTGCGGCATGATACACAACATCCGAATTACAATTCGTTGTAAGTATCCTTACACCCCAAAGAAATTTTAATCTTGTATGTATGTGGTATGTGCAAATAATTTATTTATTAACCTCAATTTAAGACAATATCAATTAAAACCGATAAATAGAACTCCACGAATTTTAAAGTACTATGATAGTTTTTCTGTGAACAAAAATGGTGTGATAGCTTTAGGTTGTAATGAATTAACTGGACGTGTTTGGGATGGATATGTCTGGGGATTTGAAAATCTTCAATCCCTTGAAATGGATGTGAACACAAATTCCAGCCTCGGTGTTTTTAAAATTCATTTAGATTCCAACGTTACTAACGTAATATTTGTTGATCCAAAAATAGTGAGTAATGTTTTTCAACGAAACATAGAAAGTATAAATAAAACTTATTAAAACAATTTTTAGTTTGCAGTATCTCAAGCAAATGGCAGCGTACAAATATGGTCAACACAATCCGAAAATTCATCTACGTACTGTCCTCTTTTGATCGGTGCAAGGAAAGAACATTTTGGTATATTGTTGTCTATGACTACATTAAATAAAAATAATTTATTAGTAACTGGATGTAGTCAAGGGCTATTGAAAGTTTGGGATATTGGAAAAGGCTCTTTAGAGTCAATTCACTCAATGCATAATGCGCATTCCGACAGTATTACATCAATTTCAAGTTGTTTCAACACAGAATCTGTATTTGTTACCTGTTCACTTGATCGAAGTGCTTTAATTTGGGATTACAGACAACAAAGACCAGCTATGGGGATATTTGAAAATCATGATATTGATTTAACAGCAATTCATTGGTGTAATGTTAGTGAGGCTGACAATGATTTAATATATTTAGGAGATGCGGCTGGTGATGCATATATGATTGATGTAAAAATGCCAAATAAGTTCTTAGATAAAATTGAGGTTCATACAAGACCGATCACGAAATTCCGTTTCTCAGGGTATAATTTAAACATGCATCTACAAATGTAATTTTATTGTTTTTTTTTTTTTGCTTTAGTTCTAAAATGGCCATAATCGGCGAAACAAATATGGTTAGGATATATGAAAATAGAGGAAAATTAGCGCCAGATGTGATGTATGAATGTATTTACACAGATTCTACTGCGACTAATATGGTAAGGGATGCTTTATGGAATCCACAAAATTCACACGAACTGCTTTCCGTTGGTTGGGACTCTAAATTGCATAGACATATTGTTTCTTAAGTATGTCAGAAGCTGGTGTGAATTTTAATGCATTTTAAAATTTCATATACTATAGTTTTATAATCGGATTAAGTTTTGTTACACAATTTTTTTAAAAAGAATTTTTTACCACATTAAAAAACAAAAGGTTACCACATTAGATAAATGATTATATGATATAAAATAAATTTTAAATAATAACAAAACAATTTATTCTTAACTACACTTTTTTTCTTTAGTACAAAAGTAATACTTTAAAAGTTCTAACATTTTTATTAATTGCAGGCTTTATGTAGTATCTCTCTTTATTCCAAATATATCTTTCCCGCTTAAAATCCTTGTTGTCAAGTCATAAGCTCCAAAGAAAATTGCACCACCAATTGTAATCCAAGTAACACGAGGAACAAATCCAGAGAATAAGCCTCTCAAACCTTTCTCTTTATATATCCCTCTGAGTATATTTCTGATGTTAAGTTTTTTCTTATTAACTGAATTTTGCTCTGCTAACATAACTCTTGTTTTTGCAACGTCTAAAGGTGTTGTTATACCAGCTGAAATTCCTCCAGCTATAGCACCGCATAATGCTACCGACCATGGTGTCAGATCTTCGTAACCAGTCCAGTCACACCATCGAAATTTTAAATATTCCCATAAAGGAAATTGTATGAAAGAGAATGGTATTTCTCGTAGAACAGTCGTCCCATAACCTCTATATAAGCCTTTACAAAATCCTTCATTTTTATAAGCAAGCCATAAAATTTGAAGACTGCTTCGATTTCCTACAATTTCATTACCTAAAGATACCTGTCGTCTCTGTTTTGCAATTTCAACAGGGACTCTTATTGTGCAGGCAATAACTTCCGCTAAAGAAGCAGCAAACATATGTAAATAAGGTGAATTTTTAAATTCTGGTAATACTTCACCCACATGATATTTGATAGTTTCATACGTGCAAAAAAATAATGCAGCTGTCGGCGCACTACCTGCGGCTACAGGTCCTAAACCTTTATAAACAGCTTTGAAGCCACCGGAACGCCAAAAACCCTTTTCACTTTGTAATCTTGTTTTAATAGTATCTATAGGAAAAAGACTTATATCAACAAATAATCCAGCTACTCCACCTGATATCAATGATGTTAAATATTTAGATTCAAGCATTTTTCATACTAAACACAAAGTTTTTCCAGTAAAAATTTTTATGAGCTTCGCCAAATGACAAATATGTAAGATATTGTAATTTAATTGTAATTAATCCTTATTCATTTTCAATATGAAGTACAATCTTTCGATGACAAAACAAAATATTTTTATACATCAATTCAATTTTATTTATTTTATATAAACAAAAGTAAAAGATTTTTTTTATTATTATTCTAATAACCGTCCCACCGTTGTCAAAATAATGTTTTCAGGTTATGTTTATGTACATTCATTCGTGTTTCGTTTTCATTTTGGTTGATTATAGGAATGATGGTAGTGGTCTTAAAGAAATATTTGTAAATGAAACGTAAAGCCCGTTCACAAGAGAGAATTAAATTTTAATTAAGTCAACTTATTAAGTAAAAAATAATAACACCCGTCCGGAGTTTTAAAAAACAAAAATTGGTTATTATATATAAATATTTATCGAAGTCTAGGGTTGCAAAATGATGAAAATTGAAAATTTTATTAAATACTGCATATGTAACTTCAAATTTCAATATCTTACTGTCTGATCCTGATCTTTTTATTCACTATCAAATCAGAATTCTCAGTATTTTCTAATGGAACTTTTCACTTTTCTAGTAAGATTGCTCATTTTTTCTCAAATCATAGACAGAACGTCTCAATTTTAAAAACAAAGTGAATAAATTTTTATGCATTTTAGAAAAAAAACGAGATTGGCAGTACCATGTAATTCTTCTCACTCGAAAATTCAATTACATAAATATTATATGATAGTTATTCACTTCCTTCTCACTTTCCGAGTGATACTTTAAAAATAATTATGTTCTTGCTCATCGATGGCACAGAAATTGTTTCAATTCCATTTCGTTTCATTTAAAAATTCATAATAAATTCAGAGCAATTTTCAATTAAAGCGCAAAATATGGAAAAAATTAAAAAATAAAATTCTTTGTAGAATCTGTTATTTTAGAATGAATACAAACATACACCACGTGCCATTAAAAAAAATTCTGCAAAAAATAAGAATGAAACAAAAACAAACGTTATTTTCTATATTTTGTTTTGGTTTTTATTTTTCGTTATTCGCTTTTTCCTCAAGAAAATTACTTTCACATGGTGGTAATGAAAAATAAACATTTTGCAGATAAAAATAAATAGCAGAAAATATAATATTGTACAGAAAATAGCATCCTTTTTTTATACTATCTAATCTTATAAAAGTATAAGATTAAGTAAAAATTTTTAAACAAATTGTATGTAGAAAATTTAACAAATATAAAAATTTTAATAAATTTATAATATGGTAGCATTTTCAAATTAAATACATAATAATTAATTTATTTCGTAATATCAGTTAAATTTTACTTATGTAGGTGCTAAAGATGATTATGGATTTACTATGCAGTTCACTCTTCTAAATTTTATATTGCAAATCTGTAAATTAATCAAAAACTTTATCACATTATTTTGTACCGTTATTATTGCATTTTGTTATTTTGTTATTAACAAAAAAGAAATGGTACATCTGCAAATACAGAGTGTATACATTTTAAAAAAGACACAAAAATAATATGTTTATTATTAAAGGAAAAAAAAGAAAAACTATGAGAGGAAAAAAAAACAACAAAAAAAGAAGAAAAAAAAGAAAAGTGAAAGTATTTAATAGATGGAAAATTCAAAATTTTAGTTAGTCGTTGCGGGAATTTCGTTGAGTTAACTCTGGAAGAAAAAATTAAAGAAAAAAAAAGGAAAATTAATTAAAAATTTAAAAATAAAGAAAAAAATGTTTAATATTAAATAATTATAATATATTATATATTTAACGGGTTATTTGAAAAAAAAAAACAAAACAAAAAATAAATAAATATTCTTAATTCTAAGTGATAAAATTAATAAATGAGTAAAAAATAATAAATTAATTCAAATAAAATAATTAAAAATTTAAAAAAATTCTGTAATTAATTATAAAATAAAAATATATAAATAACAAGGTATTATAACTTTTAATAAAATTTAATAAAAATTTATACTTTTGAGTAAAATATTTAGTATCTATGTAATTAATTATAATAAGAAATAGTTAACTAGCTACACCTAAATATTTTAAAGCCTATAATTTACTATAAGCATATTATATATATATATGCTAATTAAACTTAAATATATTTATTTAATTAAGAATTTAATAAAATTAATTATTAAATTCTCAATTTAATAAATATATTCTTATTACAAAAGAAAAATTTTTGAGAATTAATGCAAATTTTTGTTGTTAAAATAAAATTTAATAATTATTGAAAACAACGAAATTATTTTTAAATTTTTTAAAGAATGCAAATATTAAATTATTTAATATAGATAGTCAAATTGGATTTAAATCAAAATTTTTATATAAAATCAATTGCATTATATATATAATATTTATGTTTAAATATATTCGTAATGCAATTATAAGAGAAATTTTAATATTATATATTTTAAAATACAAACAAAAATTTTAAAAATTTAAATTGAATATTAATTGAAATTATTTATATAATATTATAAAAATTATTTCATTACAAATAATAATATGATAATTAATTTAAAGAATTTATATAGAATTAAAAAAAAAAACTATTTTAAATTTCTATTGAATATGTAATATGCCTATATATGTATGTATATAATGAAATAATATACACGTATAACATTATAATTCTGATTTTAAAATAAATGATTTTTTCCAGTTCAAAAAATATTCTGAACAATTTCATTTTAATTTTTTCTTTACAAAATTATATTCGAATTAAAATAAAAAAATTTTTAAAATAAATATAACAGATTTTAATATAGGTAACATAGAGCATACATAGAACGTATGTGTGTTTCATTTGCTTAATGCTTATTTAAAACAGAAAAAAAAAGGTTATAAGTATATTTTTAAAAACTTTGACCTTCATAATTATTTTAAATGAGTAAAATATTTTTGAAAAATGTCTAAAGTTTTGCTTTTTTTTTTTAAATATCAAAAAGAAAATGATATGTTCTATGAAATTTATAAGAAAATTATGAATTTTGTTTGTATTTTATTTTAATGTTTTCTCTTTTTGCAATATAATTAGTAGGAAAAATTTTAAAATTTAAAAGTTTTAATTTCTCATTTTCTCATATATACCTATTAACTGTTCAGAATTGAATTTTTTAATTTGTATCTCACCTAGACGGGGTAATACACGGATTTTCTAATTTGTATCCCACCTATACGGAGTAATACACGAAAACTATAGGAAGTACAAAATTTAGAAGATTGAAATGTTTTCATTTCTGATTTATTAAAAAGAAATTCGGGAGATTTTATAGAAATATTTCTTTTATAGAGCTATAGCAACCGAAAAATTGTGTAGAATTTTTAATATTATAAAAGTATATAACACTTTTCAAATGCAAAATTTTTTAATCATATCGTATAAATTTTTGATTTGTAACATTGTTGTCCTTTACATAGGTTCGATATGTTTTATGGTTTTATAAAATTATAAAATTTCTTTGTAAATTTGTATTTAAATTTTTAGTATTTCGAATGAAATTTTTATAATATGGAAATTTGTTAAGAAAGCTCAATTTTTAAAAATTTTTTTAAGGTATTAAAAATCTAAAATTTTTACAAATACTGAAATAAGTTTAATACTCAAAAAATTTGTTTTTCCAAGGAATTTTCGTATTATACTAATTTAATAATTTAATATTAATTAGATTAATAATTATAATTTATAGTATGATAATATTCATCAATCATCATCTTTAATATTATATAGTCAAATACACAGTCTAAATTACTAAATCGATATTGGGGTATAAAATTTTAAATTCTTATGATTTAAGAAAATTACAGTCTAATTGTGTATTTTGCTTTTTAATTTCAATTTTTACTCATTTTCAAATCAGATTTCTCCGTTTTTCTAATAGATATTTCATTTAATTGATTTAAATCTAATTTTTGAATTAGATTTTTGCATTTTTTCTTAAATTGTCACTGTGAATAAATTCTGTATACATTTTAGAAAAAAATTAGATATGCAATACGGAGTAATTCTTTTCACTCGAAAATTACATTTGATAGTTACTCACTTTCTACTTACGATCAGTCTCTTAATTTAATTTTTACCACACAATTTCTTATTTATTGAGAATTTTTAATTATTCATATTGGGATAATCACTCATATGCATGTATTTCGCAGACGTGCACAAATTCGAATAAGAAAAATGAGTGACTATTCCTAAGAATGTAAAATTTGTTTAGAATTTTCTATTCTGTTAATTGCAAAAAGAAGTAAAGCTTTCACTCAATTTGAAAAAAAAAATTTATATTTGAATTATAAATTATTTATAATTTTTTTTTAAATTTGAGTAGAGATAATTAGAGATGCCATTTTTTTACAAGCAATAATGCAATAATGGTTGTAATAATATTAATAAAAAATTATAATACGAGTATGTGAATTAATTACTTTCTGTTTAACGTTGAAATATAATGTTATATGATTATATTTAGAAAATGTTAACAGGTCTACATTTATAGTTCTTATACTATTAAAATTTATATGTATGATTAAGTCATTGAATATATAGCTCATATACTTTCACAGATAAGAAATTAATTTTGTATAATATAGTTCAACCAAATTATTATATTATGTAGAAGGTGTTGGCATATCCCGTGCAATATATTTTATTATACATATAAAAATTATATCAGAAATAACGGTGATTCAATGTTGTTATTTTTCATATTAGTTAACATAAAGTATATATATACCTTTATGTTAATCATAAAAAATGTACATGTATACCTGTATATATATATACAAAAATGAAGCGGAAAGGTGTAAATAAAGGAGTTTTGCGTATAATTTTATTGAATCTTACTTACGCGCATATTTGTTTTTTCTTTTATTATATTTGATATTTTTATTTGTCCAATATAATAATGCATATACTGAAACCGAAATATAAATATTCACTTATCTTAACCGATTCAATAAGAATATGTAAAACACAATATTTATTATACTTAATGATTCATTTTGCTTAGTATTCAATATTAATATTTTTGTATGTTTATATAGATGTTGAAGCTTTCATGACCTTTATAGAAAAGGTTAATATTATGATTTCTTATCTCTATTTAAATATTAATTGTCGCAAAGAAAAAAAAAAAATAAAAATCAAATATACAAAAATTGAAAAATACATATTCATGTGTTATTGAATTTTTTTCTTAGAAATCCTGGATAAAAATAGAGGAGATAAAAATTTTCTTCAGAAAAAAATTTATTTTTTTTTTTAAATAAATTTCGTTTTTCTTTAAATTTCAATTAAATAAATTTTTAAAATTTTCTTATAATAATTTCTATAGCTATATTAGTATAGACAATTTGAATTCTATAGAGAAAACAAAACATTTTTATTCTAAAAATTTCTCTTTATGTACCAATACGCACCTTAAGAAAGTGTACATTATTGTGGTTTAAAGGACAATAGTCACTTTATTGAATCAAGTAATGATGATTTGATCAAGGATTCAAATGTACAATATTAGCAAGGTGTGCAGCAGATATTAACGTTTTTATAAAAGTATTTTGTATGAAAATGATGTAGAAACAGAAAAAATCTTGAACATATTAGATAATTTTCAAAAAAGTATGGACTTAGTATATGGCTTTTAAGCACAAACAATTTAAATTAATAATCAAAATGAAAATTATACAGTGATTAGAAAATTGCAACTATGATTAGGAAATTTTACTTATAAGACGATTCTTTCGCTTGCACTAAAACTGTGACAACTGTTAGAGTTTTACTTCAAGCGAATAGCAAGATAACTAATAAAATGAAAAATTTACGAAAAAATAAATATGAGTTATAAATGTTTTATGACAGTAAATTTTGTTTTTATTGATAAATTGTATTTTGATTTAATAATAGCAAATGTAGTAGAAGAAAATTTTAACACAAAATTAGGCAAAATAAAGAAAATTTTTTAAATCTTTTGAAATTTTTGGGAATATTTTCGATTATTTACCTAATTTGGGCTTTTAAATATTTAATTTTATTTAAAAATTTATTTGATCTACTATTTAATTACTAATTGTAATTGTATATGTTTAATAATAATTTTATTAGAATAATCACACAATATTATATACATAAAGTTAAAAATTTAATTATTAAAAATAAAATTACATTTGAGTGACAATTGAGCTAATTATTCAAATTAAATATTAAAAAATATTGCATTCAAAATATTGAGTAAATTCAATAATATTAAATATTTTGTTGTTGTAATATGAAAAATTATTTTAAAAGTGCATAGTATTAAAAATATTTTATAAATTAATTATATATAATAAAATATAATTTAAAAACAAAATATTGTGAAACTTTTAAAAAAAAATATTATTTATATTGTGGAGCAAGAATAAAGGAACTCTAATTGGTAATTATAATTTTTAATATTTTGATAATTCCAAATAAATTATTAATTTTTTATTATATACTTAATTATTTCCCATGAAATTAAACTAACAGAAATTTAATTAATAATTTTGCTTTTAAAAAAGGAAGGCAATTATTTTGGCCGTAATTTTGCGAAAAGCTTGTTTTCTTTTTGTAAATTTTATAATGCTTTTCGACTATTCGTCCCATTCATTATTTCCTAAAGTTCAAATTTGTATTAAGAGAATTGGCGAATTGTTGAAAGTTAAAGTGTATTCCGTGGTTGTGAACCTGAATTATTAATTTAATGTGTACTATATTTTTAATTTTGATATATGATGTAGGCAGAACGTAGGTGTGTTTTGTAAGAATCAAAACGGAAATCGGAAGAAAATTGACTAGTTTTCAGATTTTATTGGTTTTCTTTTTAAATGTGAATTTATTTTTTATTTAATTTAATATATGGTGAGTGTTAAAAGTACTTTATCAACCATGGTAATCAGAACGTATAAGAAACTTTAGATTTATTCTTAAAACTGTCAAGACCAACTGCTATTATACCTTATAAAAATTTAAAATGTCGGCATAGATACTAAGATTCCTCAAAAATGTTAGAAATTTTACAAAACTTTAAACTAAATAAATAAATTTTTAAAATTTTTGTTTGAATAATCATAAGGGCTTAAGGTATATCTAATGAAGCCAATAGTAAATTCAAAATTATTATTGTTAAAAGAAAAATGAAAATATTTTTAAATTAAGTTTATAGAATTTATATCTTGTATTTATAGATAAATTACAAAATATAATGTTAAGCCAGTATAAATCAATTAAAATAATTTTATTATTTAATATACAGAAATATTAGTAATAGCAAAAATATTAAGTTAAATTTTATACAAAATCTGTATAATACTCTGTAAATTACTATTATAATATTATACTGAATCATTTGTTAATTATCTAATTAAGTTTTATAGAATTTTGTGTACGTGCAATAATGTGCATTTATATAGAAAACATAGAAAATGATTAATGTTAATATTTTTGTTTATTGTTGAATAGGTATGATGATTCTTTTCTCTTTGTTCATTGAGTATTATAAAATTACAAAATTATAATTACTCTGAATATTATTCTAATTATTATTATTATTATAATATCCGATGTTATTATTGGTTTTTAATATTTAAGTAATTATAGTATATATTTTCATTTTATTGTTTAAATTGAATCTTTACAAGTCATTGATTTGTACATGATTGATGTAGATTTAATTTTGATGTTTAAATGATTCGTATATGTAATTTAAATTTTGCTATTATACTATTAGAAATTTGTCAAATTGTATAGATAATAAATAGAATTTGAATGTAATTTTTTATTTATTTTAATTATTAATTAAAATTAAATTAAAATAGAGTTTTGATATTGTCATAAAATTTAAAGTTATTTAAGAATATTAGATCGTTATATAAAAATTTAAGTTATTACTCATTATCACAATATTTTTTAAAATTTCGAATTTTAATTTGAAAAATATTACTCATCAGTTAAAATTTTAAAATAATTAATATTGAAAGTGACTCTATGTATGACTTAATTTTCCAAATGTATAATTAGAATATAATTGTTTTTAAGATTATTTATCAAATTTTAAAAAAATTCTCAATAGCTTAATGATCTGAAAATATAAGACATGAGTGCCACGCTTTTGTATAAATTTGAACAGGTTTCATGCAATTCAAGAGTCACTCCAAGTTACAGACCTAATTAAATGCAATAAGTTCATACTTATATTTTTTTATTATAAAATAATTGTTACAGATTTCTTCTATATGATTTTAAATAATATAATTGCATAGTCTTGACCCTAAATCACTTTATATTCCTATAAAGAGTTCTAATAATTCTATTATTAGCACGTTATGAATTCAAAATAAAATTATGGATAAACGCATATGAGATTCATAATTCTTTGATTTAATTAAATATAAACAATAATCCCATTTTAAGACATCTTGAAATTTAATAAATGAAATTTGTAAAAATTAATTTTATATTTTCTTATTTTTATATTAAAAAAATGCCCAAAATTAAAATTTTCCAATATTTTCTTTTTTATTGCCTTTGTAAATTTTGATTTTTTTTTTGGGGTTCTTAAATTTTTATTCAGATTAATTTTTAAATTTAAAATTTTTTACCTAAAAATCTAATTTTTCTAAAATTTAATATTTTCCTATTTTAATCTATATGCTGCCATTTTAAGCAGATATACATATATCCTTATTGAAGACTTAACTCCTTTTTTTTATAGTTCAATTTCGGCTGTAGAAAATAAAAATAAATTAATTCTTAAAATAAAAAAACAAAATATAATTGAAATCAGTATAATAAAATGAAAAGTAATAATTTTTAATAGATAGTTAAGATTTTCTTTTTATTGAATATAAGGTAAATATTATGAATACTAACAATTCAGTCAAATTTATTAGGTACAGAAGATTTCAGAAACTCTTATGGCACTCACAAATTTTGTAAAAATAAGATTTGAAATTTATTGAAAAACATTACAATGAAAATTAAATTGATAATTTACTTACATTTTATTGTTAACACAATATTTTTAGTAGATTCTGAATGATAGACGTCATTGTGGAGGCAAGAGCAGCTCCTTATGCTTATTAATAATAACTTTGATATGATTAATAGCAGGATATTCGCAAGTTAGTCATAACACTCAATATTATAATCACGCTGATGCTAAATCGTTTTTAAATTTTAAAATTTTTAACATGGAATCGTAAAGGCCCAATCATTTTTAGTACAAATTACAATTAAAATTTGAAACTTCACCAGTTAAAACAAAACCCAATCTGAATATTCAGCCTATAAATTTAAATTTATAATTAATTTAATAGCTCTTAATTTGTAGACCTTTTAAATTTAGTGCTCCTAATAAAGTTTGCTGTTGTATAAACACTAAAGTACAAAACCTTTCTATTTTTAATATTCTTATAGACATAAATCTGAATATAAAAAAATATTAAATTTATTATTTATTTTAACACTCAATTTTATTAATATTTTTTATTCCGTAATGTAGACATCAGTATAAGTGTATGCTTTACCGTTATCGATATTATAGATTTTAACATATTTATCTATATAAATATAAATTATATAACGGTAAAGGGTAATATTTTATATACTTTTCATTTTGGGTCAATCGTACAAAATTTGTCTAAAAAAATATTTTAAATTATCTGAAAAACAAATCTGAAGGTTCCCAAAATTTCGCAGGTGAGTTATTTATGTAAAGTAGAAAAGAAAAATGTAGTAAAAATCTTTATTAAATCTCTTTTATATCTTCAATAAATCTGTATGGTAATAAAATATATTTTTATATAAAACTCAAATTTTTTAAGGTAAATAAATAAAATAGAAAATTTTGTAGGCGCATTATTTTTGAAATATTGAAAATTTTTTAAAGAATGCATATAGTGTAACTTAAGAGCCTTTAGTCTGATTGAATGGCAGTTTGGATTTAGTCACCTATTGCCCAGTGGACTAATTTAAGATACAATACGCAACCCAATCAATTTGACTATATCTTGTTTAATTAAATTAAAGGAATGGATAATAGGAAAATATTAATTATAATTTCATTATTTTTTTTTTTTTGAAACCTTAATTTTACTGTTTTCATATTTAAATCTTCTAACTAATTATCAGTTAGTTGTTATGCTTTCTGAATTCTGAATTAATTATAGAACAATATAAAATTTAGAGATATCAAATTTAAATTAATAACCAAATTGGCCTAAAAAATTTACCATAACTTTGGAAATTATTGAATTGAAATAACCGAATTTTGACCAAAAGCAAAAGAAGCAACTCAAATTCGTTATTAAAATACCAAATTAGACATAAGAAGTTTTTCCATTTGTTAACCACAGAAATATTTTCATTATTCTGATGTTAATCTTATAAGGACTATTTATTGTCTTATTAGGAAAAAAAAAAACATTAATTCAATATTTCTATATCCTGGAACTGATTTTTCAAAATCAAATAGCAAAATAACACAAAAAGCATAAAAACAAAAGCAAAAAAAAAACCTTAAATCTTCAGACCATAAAAATATCCGGCATGTCGATTTTCTTAAGGATTACAAAATCTTGTTAGAAAATACAAAGCAAAAATGTTTTACATACATGTACAAAGAGTAACAAAATAAATTAAGAAACCATACATACTCTTATATAATAAAATTAAAATAGAAAAAAAAATCATAAAATAACAACAAATAAGAAAAATAACAGAATAAATAAGAGAAAAGGATATTCTAACAATGTTGTCATAATGAAAACTTCATGTTTTGATTTTTTGTTTTCTCAAGGAAAATCAAAATTTTTTATATTCATTCAAAATAGGAGAATAAACAACATTTTAACCCTTTATTTTTGATATTATAATTTCTTGATTTTGTGATGATGATTTAAAGTGCTGAATCCTGTCAAGAAAAATATTATGCTTCTTTTTTTTCTGCTTTGCTTTCTTTTCCTTTATTTTATGTAAATATTTTTCTATGGATCCTTGATTTTATTTTCTATTATACTTATTGTTTTTATTCCTTTTCTTTTTTGCATCTTAAATTCATCTTAGTCTATGGGCTCTTCCTGTTTAAGTTTTTAAGTAACTTTTCTATATTGAAATATTTCTTTCTATTTTTATTGTTTTACATATATAAGTGTATATACTTTAGTGTACTTATAGGTTAGGAAAAATTTTTTGAAATCTTGTTCCTTTAGAAAGGATTTTTCTAAAAGAAAACGATTTTTTTTCATATTTTTTTAATATTTTATTGTTTTTCGTTGAATGTACATACATATTATAATACATGTTTAGTTAATGGAAAAAATAGGTGCTTTTATAATTTTATTAAGACGAAATTTGTAGTTGTATAACACCTGTATAACAGTTGTATAACAGTTATAG